GACCTTTGATGTAACCATTCCCTCGTCCTGTTGGTCACTTTGGTTCTTTTCAGTTTTTCGCTATTAAAAACAATACTCTGCTGAGCACCTGGTATGGTAATCTTGTGTATTCATGTTAGTATTTCTGTAGAACAGATTCCTAGAAGTAGAATTACTAGGTCAAGGGTGGGTGCATTTACAATTTTGATAATTAACGCACAGTGGCCCTCCCCGAAAGTCCTATTTACACTTTCCCCAACAACACTCGAGATTTCTCATTTCCCCTCACCCCACAATATAGATCATATCAATACTTTTTTTTAACCAGATAGGTAAAAATAGCTGTATTCGTCTGTTTCCATATTATAAAGAACTGCCTGAGACTCGGTAATTTATAAAGGAAAGAGAATTAATTGACTCACAGTTCAGCGTGACGGGGGAGGCCTCAGGAAGCTTACAAGCACAGCAGAAGGCCAAAGGGATGAAAGACGCCTTCTTCTCAAGGCAGCAGGAAGGAGAAGGGCTGAGACAAGGGGGAAGAGCCCCTTATGAAACCATCAGATCTTGTAAGAACTCACTCCCCATCACAAGAACAGCCTGGGGAAAACTGCCCCCATGATTCAACTACCTCCACCTGGTCTCTCCCTTCACAAGTGGGGAGTACAGAGATTACAACTCAAGATGAGATTCAGTGGGGACACAAAGCCTAACCGTATTGATAGCTATATCTAATTTATGTTTATACGATTATTAATGAAGTTGAACATCTTTTTATATAGTTACTGGCATATAAATCTATGTTTTTCTGTATGTATTTCTTCTTCTGATAATTACCTCTTTTGTCGTTTGCCACTTTTAATAGGTTGTCTTTTTCTTATTAATTCGTAAGCGCCGTTGATAACGTACGGATACTAACCCTTGGTTTGTTACATAGTTTGCAGGTATTTGCTCCTAGCATATCCTACATCTTTTTGTTTAGTGCTTATTTTACAAAATAGAGTTTTAAATCTGGGGGACAGCCAATTTGTCAATCTTTTCCTTGTGGCTTCTGCAATTGATGTTTGGAAAGGACTTCCTCACTCCAAAATTATGAAAATATTTCTCTATAAGGAATTTTATTTTATTCTTTGAATGTATATTTTTAATCAATATGGAATGTATTACTGTTTGCAACATGAAGATCTAGCTGAATGTGTTAGATGTATAGGCAGCTGACCCAGCCTCATTACTGAAAATTTACCCTTTTCTCTCCGATCTTCAAATTTCACTTTTATCACATACTAAATTCCCACACACCTGAGTCCGTTTCTAGATTCCCTAATCCAGTGGTTCTCAAAGTTTGCTGCACATTGGACTCACCTGGGAAGTTTTTTTAAAATTCCCCATACCTGGTTAAAAACCGCAGCTAATTAAATCTCCCTGACTAATTAATCTCTGGGAGTGCAACCAAGGTGACAATGTTTTTTAACTCTTCAAGTTTGAGAATACTATAATGCACTATATATAATACTATAACCCAGGTTAACATACAGAGGCTCAGGTTCTGTTCTTTTTTTTTTTTTTTTTTTTTTGAGGCAGGGTCTCTCTCTCTCCCCGCGGCTGGAGTACAGTAGTACATGGCCTGTGCAAACACGGCTCGATGCAGCCTTGAACCCCTGGGCTCAAGCAATCCTCCAACCTCAGCCTCTTTTGTAGCTGGTACCACACGTACGCACTTTATTTTTTGTAGAGACGAGGTGTGTTGCTTGCCGTGTTGCTCAGGCTGGTCTCGAACCCCTGGGCTTGAGCAATCCTCTTGCCTCAACCTTCCATAGTGTTGGGATCAGAGGTATGAGCTGCACCTGGCCTTGTTCTCGTTCAGCGAGCCCTTAACTCATTGCGTTCCAGGTGATTCTGACACACTAGTGTCTAATAGCCACAGCCTCCTTCTTGGAGGCTTCCAGAGAAGCACAGTTCGACAAAGAACCCCACTGCTCCACCAGCAACCAAAGGCATCTGAATCCTGATTTCCAAATCTCGGGTGTTGGGAGCGAGAGGGTGGCAGGTGTTGAGATCTGTTCTCAAATCTCCCCCTAGGGTTTGAAGGTACAGCCTAGCCTGGAGGCTTAAGAACCACTGGGCTGGGTCACACAGTGCACAGCCTGCATAGGACCTTTTTTCCCTGAAAACCCAGGTAAAGTATCTGGGGTCATCAATTGCTGCACCTGCTTCATGAGGAAGCCCAGACACTTCCAACAGCCTATGGCTGGCTGGCTCAGATTGGGGATTCCAGCAAAACTCAGGACTAGGAAAGGCTGTGTTCCTTTGCAGAGAGGGATTTTGCATAGCATTTCTTGCTGTAACTAAACCTAATTATTACCATCCCTCAGATGACATTGAGCAACCTGGCCGAGAGAGCTGAGCATTTCTGAGAACTGACTCCATGAGCACACCAGGGCTCAGAAGGCAGGGCCACCCCTTTTTGTTTTGTTCTGTTTTGTTTTGCTTAGTTTAAGCATCTACACCCCCAAAGCAATTCTTTTTCATGTTTTTCCATACCAATCATCCGCTTTAGCCCTGCTTTGCCTCACGCTGCTCCTGGAGCACAGCCCACTCGTCTCTCCAGCCTTCCACTGCCAGCAGAATCCTGGTCCCCCATTGAGCGCTAGCTCTCCACCTTAGCTGCGCATTTGAACCACCTAGGGGGCTTTTAAAAAATCCTGAAGCCCAAGCCCTGCCCCAGGCCAATTAAAACAGCACCTCTGGGCGGAACCCTGGCATCCGGACTTCTAAAGCTCCGCAGGTGATTCCAGAGTACCGCCAGGGGTGGGAACCACTGAATTCTAAGCGGAACCCAAATGCTGCTGTTCTATGAAGCGCCTCTAATTTCTCCACTCCCAGCCTGACCTATACACATACCACAGTTATTTTCTTGTAAATAAGAACGTTACCTTTATTTGTTCACTTTGGAATGGGGAATAGATTCAAAATGCAGAAGGTACAAAAGAATGCAAAGAAGTCTTCCACTATTTCCTGCTTAGACGCCCTCCCCAAAGGGAGAGCCTCAGCAGAATCAAAGGCTCCACTGCTGCCCTGTGACAGTACCATGACTGAGGGAACTGGCAAAGTCTTGGGGTCACAGAGGCCTGGGTTTGATTTTTTTTTTTTTTCAATAGAGACAGGCCTCACCATGTTGCCCAGGCTGGTCTCGAACTCATGGGCTCAGGTGGTCCTTCTGCCTCAGGCTCCCGAAGTGCTGGGATTACAGGCATGAGCCACTGCACCCAGCCAGAGGCCTGGGTTTCAATCCACTTCAGCCATCGACTTCCCATATGATGTTGAACTAGCTGTTCACCGATCCAATCCTGTTTCCTTATCTGTAGAGATAACAGCACCTGCCTCTCAAGGTTATGCAGGAGAATTAAAGAGGTGTTTTGGTTCTCTATTGGAGCCTAGCAAACTGCCCCAACACTTATTGGCTTATAAAAATAACTATTTTATGTGCTCATAATACTGTGAGTTTGGGATTCAGGCCTCGGTGATTCTGGTAGTCAGGGTGTCTCCTGTGGTCATTCTCCTGGCTGGTGGATGGTCCAACCAAGACAGCTTCACTCACAAAACTGATGTATTAGGGCTCTACTACATGGCCTCTGGCCTCATGATAGCTTGGGCTTCCTCACAGCATGGTCTCTGGCAGCCAGCCATAGATGACCCTCAAGAAAGAGCCCTTACAGCAGGAAAGTAGACATGCTAACAGTCTTTCAAGGCCCAGTCTTAGAAGTTTCACAATCAACCCAGATTTAAGGGGAGGAGAAATATACACCAACTCTTGATGGGAAAGTGGTATGGTCACATCGCAAAAGAGCATATAGGATGCAATAGTGTTGCAGGCATCTTTGGAAACACAATCCACCACAAGAGAAATGAATGTAAAGTGTCCAGCACACAGTATGTGCCCTACAAATGTTAGTTCCTATCTTTCTCCTTGGCACACAGTTCTTTTGCCTTTTATTGTGGTTCAATGTTTATAATGCCGTTGATGTGCCTTCCTAGTGCCTGGCCAAGAGCCTGGCACAGAAGAGATGACCAGTGAATGTTTATATAAAATCTCAGAGGTGGCCATGAAGTCAGCATTCATCCAGTCCTGTGAGTCTAATGTGCTGAATTCCTAAAATGCCAAGCCATGAGACACTCCCTTCCTGACCTCCACCCTCACTATCCCCTCTTGCATGCTGTTACTCTGGCCTGCTATGTCCACAACCTGAAATACCCTCCTTCTCCCTTGTTATCACCTGGCTCCCAACTGGTTGGCCACAAAGTGAGTGAGAAGGGGAGATTTGGCAACCAGATTAAGCAAGGTCTCAAATGCTCTATAATGAGCACAAGGGAGCCATTGCAGGCACTTTTAGGGAAGGTGAGACATAATTCGACACGCAGGCAGTTGTGCAGGCATCAGATGCACAGAGTGAAGAAATGATGTTTCCTCATGTACCATCTTAGTACTCAGAGTTCTGAAACCTGGACAGTCTGAGCAAGGCTATCCACTACAAATTCACCTCCCTATTGAAGGCAGAAAGACTGAGGCCTGGCGAAGGAAGGGGATTGCCCATGGTGCAGGCCATGGGCCCTTGGCCATGCGGCTGGATTCCAGAGGCTATGTCTGTGAAGCATGTGTCTGACATTGAGCAACGTCTCAGCAGCATAGGGAGTAATGATTGATGGGTCTGATGCATGCAACCCCATTATTATTGAAATTTATACACATACCAGTGATCGAAGAATCTCAGTGCATGTGCCTCATTTAATATTCACAGCTGTTGTTTTTCAACTAGGAACCCAAGAGTCAGGCCCTAGGATTGACAAAGATGAAGTCTGGGGCACTTTTCAGAAAGCCAATTCTGAACGCAAAGCCCCCAGGTGGAAACTGCCCTTTGCCACTCACTTGCATGTGACCTGGGCAAGGTGTCTATTGATTCAGAGCCATGCTCTGGGCGGATGTGCCAGGTCACTCAGATCCTCTCAAGCTGGAAGCCTCCAGTCCCCTTTGGGTATTCACCTGGCCATTCTCCTGCAGCTTACTGTCATGCGGAGTAGACAGACTAAAAAGCAAACAAATTCAAAAGCAGAATAAAAGCCAATACAGCTTGCGAGAAGGGCCATGCCTCCAGACAAACAAGGTGCTACGACAGGCACCTGGCAGGAAGTGATTTGGTTAGGGGCTGTCACCTGACGAAAGCTCCTGAGCCCTAAGACATGTTGGCCACCAGACTAGGCTCTTATGCTCCATTAGATAGAGTTGGTCCAAAATCACAAAGGGAGAAGTGACCCACGGAACCAGGCATGGCAGGTAGGCAGGCATCAGCATCAGCCACTCTGCACACACTGGGGTCTTGTTTTCATAAACTCAGATGTTGCCTCTGCCATGTTCCAACTTCATTACTTTCTTTTTTTTTTTCCTTTCTTTCTTTCTTTTTTTTGTTGGAGACAGAATCTTTCTCTGTCTGTCACCCAGGCTGGAGTGCAGTGGCATGATCTCGGCTCACTGCAACCTCCATCTTCCAGGTTCAAGCGATCCTCCTGCCTCAGCCTCCCAAGTAGCTGGGACTACAGGTACACACCACCACACCCAGCTAATTTTCTTGTATTTTTACTAGAGACAGGGTTTCACTATGTTAGCCAGGCTGGTCTCAAGCTCCTGAGCTCAGGTGATCTGCCCACCTCAGCCTCCCAAAGTGCTGGGATTACAGGCATGAGCCACAGTGCGCAGTTCAACTCCACTACTTTCTGTCAGACCTAAAACAAGGTGCTTAGCCCTTCTATGCCTCAGTTTCCTTATCTGTACCATGATGCGTCAGTTGCCTTATCTGTACCATCCTAGACTCTCTGAGGAGGGTCCATCTAATCTATGAGGCTTGGGTGAGTTAGTACATGTGAAATGCTTAGAGTGTGTCTGGCACTGAGTCCTCACTAGTATTATTCCCCATATCCTCAGATGGGGTTCCCATTGAAGTTGGGTTTGAGAATTTGTTATGCAAAGCTGGCTAAGAGAAAAGGTTCCAGGAGGGACCTGTCTTGGTTTGAGTTCCCCCAGAAGCTCCCCCTGAGGCAAGGATTTGCAGGCGAGTTATTTATTTTGGGAGGCGAAGAGACACCTTAAGAAGTGGGGAAGCAAGAGAGAGAATAGCATGTTCCCAAGCCCACTAGTGTCTGGAGCTTCATCTCAGTATTAGTCCATTCTCACACTGCTAAAAGAACTACCTGATACTGGGTAATTATAAAGAAAAGAGGTTTAATTCACTCAGTTCCGCAGGCTTCGCAGAAAGCATGGCTAGGAAGCCTCAGGAAACGTAACGATTATGGTGGAAGGCGAAGGGGAAAGCAGACAGCTTACTTACAAGGCTGCAGGAGGGAGTGTGTGTGAGAATGAGGAAGTGCCACACTTTAAAACCATCAGCTCTCATGAGAATTCACACACTATCTGGAGAACAGCATGGGTGAAACCGCCCCCCATGATCCAATCAACTCCCACCTGGTCCCTCCCCTGACACGTGGGGATTACAATCTGAGATGAGATTTGGGTGGGGACACAGAGCCAAAACATATCAATCTCCCTAAAGAACTCTGGAGCCAGTGTGGTACACAGCTCAGATTTATCTCATGAAAGGGCGAATGAACTAGGGTATTTACCTCCAACTCTACTCAGTTATTGAGGGTTATGGTGGTGGTAAAGAGGTGTGCTCATTTTCTCAAGCCTGGCAGGCATCACGGGCCCTGGCAACCTCAGAAAGGCCTCAGGCAAGCAGCACAGGCTCCAGGAGGCAGCACACTGCAGGGGTCCAGGTGAGTAAAATGGGCTCAACAGGACTGGAAACAGCCCCAGTGAGCAGAGAAGTGAGGCAAGCAGGGCAGCAGGTCTTTAACCTCCAGGGGCTGAAGAGGATCAGGAGGAGATTGATGTCATGCCGATCCCAGGCTAGAAGGTCCTGGAAAGCTAAGGGACTAGGACTTTATTCTGTGGGTGGTGAGCAGCTGCCAGCGGTGTCTGAGGAGGGGGAGGACACATAAAAGAAACAATTACCTCCGTAAGGTGTGGACTTACCTCAACACCAAGCATGTAGCTCTGTTCCCACTAATACCACTCTACAGACTGAACCTGATTAACAGGCAGGCCAGCCAGGTTTCCTAAAGACTGAAACTCTAAGGGAAGTATATTAGTCTGTTCTCTCATTACTATAAAGAATTACCTGAGACTGGGTAATTTATCATGAAAAGAGGTTTAAAGGCTGAGCACAGTGGCTCACACCTGTAATCCCAGCACTTTGGGAGGCCAAGGTGGGTGGATCACTTGAGGCCAGGATTTTGAGGCCAGCCTCGCCAACGTTCATGTAGAAACCCATCTATACGAAAAATATAAAAATCAGCCAGGCACGGTAACGCATGCCTGTAATCCCAGCTACTCAGGAGGCCGAGGCATGAGAATCATTTAAAATTGGGAGGCAGAGGCTGCAGTGAGGTGAAGAATGACACCCCAGGGACCTTCTCAAATTACAGCTCGGTCTTTCACCACCTCCCTAGATTGGTGATGGCTAACAAAGAATCAGATATGCAAGTTTGGGGCAGAGCTGAATTCCTCAGCATGGTAGTCCAAGGGCTTCTACTAGAGCGTCTTCTCCGTCCCTCACCCCAATGCCTTCTTTGAACAAATGTCAAAGAAATATTAAAGACTGTCATTTGCAAGGACAGCCATACTGCTAGCATTCACATGGTGTATATGTGTCTCAGCCCTGTCTTAGCATCCAAAGCAGGGACAGATGGGGGAAGAGAACTACAGTCCCTTTGAGCAACTGCAGGCATTATACTTGCATGCTCACTGTGCCAGATCCTGTCTAATTCTCTCAATGACCCAGGAGGATGGAGCGTTTCCTCTCCATCATCCAGAGGTGAAAACTCAGACTACAAGAGGTTAGACATTTGTCCCAATAGCAGAGTTGAGATTATAACTGGAAGGCTCTGAATACTCCAGATTAGGGGGTTCAGACTTACCAATGGTCTGTGGTCAAATGTCAAAATGATTCCATCAGAGCTGGGAACCCTCGAAGAAGGAGGTGCTGCCATCGGATGGGTCTTGAAAGAGGGAAAGGAAATAAACCCAGAAATTAAACAACATCTGAGTATTTGTGTCACCACAATAGATAAGACACCAAATTGGGAGAAAGGAAGAAAGAGACAAACCACATTAGAAGGGAATGTAATACACATTAATCACCCACCAGTTTGCAGTAATAACCAGAATAAAATGCAGAATGCCAAAGCTGTCATTAAAAGCAATATTTTGCTGACATGAGTAAATCAGAGCTGGGAAAGAGTGACAGAAGGGGAAGCCAGTGGATGAGGGAGGAGTGGGCTTGTTGCTCTGGAAGCTGCAGGTTCCCAGGCATCCTTGCAGAGCTCCCAGAGGCAGAAAAAGGGAGCCTGTACTATATTCTGGAGGTCTGCGTATGTGCATGAGTGTGTTTGAGTGCACATGTGTGCCTGTGGATGCCTATGTGTCTGTGCATGTACATGTGTGCATGTGAAAGCATGGTGCTTATGTGCATTTATATGTCCATGTGTACATGTGCACACATGCATATATGTGCATGCATTTGTGCTTATATTTCATGAATTGTGCATTGTGCATGCATGAGTGCACATTTGCATGTCTGTGGGTGCTTATTGTGTGTATGTTAGTGAGCACATGCTCATATGCATGCATGTACGTGTGTGTATGTGTATGTTTGGGAAGCCTTGCTGTCACATTGGTTATCCCTGCCCATGCCAATGTCAGTGGCAAATCAGGTTTCAGGAGCAGTAGAGCGCTTGAAATTTGGGCCACTTACAGCACTTAGTAGGGTTAATACTTAACTAGTCAAGCCTACCAAACTTGGGTTCTTGCCCAGGTACTCACTGTCTGATTCCCCCCAGGAAGGAAGAGTTTAGGACAAGGAATTGAAAGTGGGGTTCCATTTTTCACCAGTAGAATGGGAATTTCCTTTCTCTGTCTGTCTTCCCTGCCCATGATTCTTCTGCCTCTGCATTCCCAACTCCGTTACTTCATTCCAGCCACACTGCCCTTCCTTCGGCTCCGGGAGTCACTTGCCCTCCATGGGACCTTTGCCGAGGCATTCTTCCATGATGAAGCACTTGCTTTCCAAACCTCTTCCTCTGTGCCCCCTACAATCCAATCATCACCTCTCTTTGCTCACACCATGGGTCCCTGCTCACACATCATCTGCTGGAAACCTTCCCTGATCACTCAGAGCTTTTATTTGTCAACAGCTTTACTGAGATATAATTCACATATGATACAATTCACCCACTTAAAATATACAATTCAATGATTTTCACACCACAATCTAATTTTAGAATATTTTCACTCTCCATAAAGAAGCCCCATAACCATTAACAGTCATTCCCTTTTCCTCCCTCCCCCAGCCACTCATCTATTTTCTGTCTCCACAGATTTGCCTATTCTATTCTATGGAATTATATAGGAGGTGGTCTTTTGCAATTGGCTTCTTTCATTTAGAATAACTTTTTCAAAGTTCATGCATCTTGTAGCATATATCAGTACTCCTTTTTATTGACAAATCACATTCCATTGAATCAATATACTGCATTTTATTTATCTATTCATCAGCTGGTGGCCCTTGCGGCTGTTTGCACCAAACTTTTTGGCTGTTATGAAAAAGGCTGCTATAAACATTTGTTTGCAGGTGCTACTGTGGAGATATATTTTTCTTTCTTGTGGGTTTGTACCTAGGCATGGAATTTCTGGGTCATATATTACCTGTTTAACCCTTTGAGGAACAGCCCAACTGTTTTCCAAAGTGGTTGTACCATTTTACACTCCCACCAGCAATCTATCGAGTTCCAATTTCTCTACATTCTTGGTTCTTTTACTAAAATCATCCTAACGGGTGTGAAGTAGTGATTTAGATTTGCAGTTCTCCGATGACTAATGACGTTGAGCATCTTTTCACATGCTTATTGGCCATGTGTATCTCTTTAGAGAAACATTTATTCAAATCTTTTGCAAATTTTTTATAATTGTCTTTTTGCTGTTGAGTTTCAAGAATTCTTTTTCTATTTCTGGGTACAGACCTGTACGAGACATATGATTTGAAACTATTTTCTCCTATAAGTTGTCTTTTCATTTTCTTGGCAGTGGTCTTTGAAGCTCCAAATTTTTAATTGGATACAGTTCAATTTATCTATTTTTTCTTTTGTCATTTGTGCTTTTGGTGTCATATTTAAGACATCATTACCTAACTCAAATTCACAAAAATGTATTTCTATTGTTTCTTCTAAAAGTTTTATAGCTGTAGCCCTTATATTAGGTCTATGATCCATTTTGAGCCATTTAACAACTATTTATTGGGCGGTTACTGTGCTGGTCATCAGTTTAGGAGTGGGTATATATACTTCAATACACCCGTAGGCAAAATGAACAACCTTGAAGAGCTAACATGCCAGTGAAAAAACAGATAATAACCAAAAAGCAAACACACAGGATAAGGACAGTTTGAGCTGGTGTTGGTGCCCTGGGGAATGAAACCATGTGGGACATTCAGGAAACAGGGCAGTTTCTGTACTGTACTGGAGCCCTGGAGCAAGTGTTAGGGGTGGCAGTGAAAGACAGGGTCAAAGGAGCTGGCTAAAGGAGCCTTCTAAATCTACCCAGTTTATTTATTGTAATTAATTATTATAACATTTAATTTAATGTTTAATTATTGTAATTTTGATCTTTTGTCATTTCTCTTATTACTTACATCATCAGTACTTTTTATTTTTTTTTGAGACAGAGTGTCGCTCTTGTTACCCAGGCTGGAGTGCTATGGTGCGATCTCAGCTCACCACAACCTCCACTTCCTGGGTTCAGGCAATTCTCCTCCCTCAGCCTCCTGAGTAGCTGGGATTACAGGCACGCGCCACCATGCCCAGCTAATTTTTTGTATTTTTAGAAGACACGGGGTTTCACCATGTTGACCAGGATGGTCTCAATCTCTTGACCTCGTGATCCACCTGCCTTGGCCTCCCAAAGTGCTGGGATTACAGGCGTGAGCCACCGCGCCCAGCCGATCAGTACTATTTATCTCATTTTACTGTGGGACGCACCCCCTTCCCACTCCTGGAACCCTGGCAAACATGAATAATCAATCTAGAGTTCTCACCCACTAAGCCTCTTGGTGTCCCTGGCTAGCAACTTTCCTAACAGCAATACAATCTTATTAAATTAAATGGAAAGGCTCAAGGAAGAAGCACTGAAACAAAGCATCTGGGTTACCAGGCTTCAACTTCTCCTCCTCCTCCCCTGAGGTTGGCAGCCAGGC